ATATATATATATATATATATATATATATACATACACATACACATACAGTGCCTTGCGAAAATATTCGTCCCCCTTGAACTTTTCAACCTTTTGCCACATTTCATGCTTCAAACAAAGATATAAAATTTAAATTTTTTGTGAAGAATCAACAAGTGGGACACAACCGTAAAGTGGAATGAAATTTATTGGATGTGTCAAACTTTTTTTAACAAATAAAAAAACTGATAAGTGGGGCGTGCAATATTATTCGGCCCCTTGCGTTAATACTTTGTAGCGCCGCCTTTTGCTGCAGTTCCAGCTGCAAGTCTCTTGGGGTTTGTCTCTATCAGTTTTGAACATGGAGAGACTGAAATTCTGCCCATTCTTCCTGCAAAACAGTTCGAGCTCAGTGAGGTTGGATGGAGAACGTTTGTGAACAGCAGTCTTCAGCTCTTCCCACAGATTCTCGATTGGATTCAGGTCTGGACTTTGACTTGGCCATTCCAACACCTGGATACGTTTATTTGTGAACCATTCCATTGTAGATGTGTCTTTATGTTTTGGATCATTGTCTTGTTGGAAGATAAATCTCCGTCCCAGTCTCAGGTCTCTTACGGACTCAAACAGGTTTTCTTCCAGAATGGTCCTGTATTTGGCCCCATCCATCTTCCCATCAATTCTGACCATCTTCCCTGTCCCTGCTGATGAAAAGCAGGCCCAAACCATGATGCTGCCACCACCATGTTTGACAGTGGGGATGGTGTGTTCAGGGTGATGAGCTGTGTTGCTTTTACGCCCAACATATCGTTTTGCATTGTGGCCAAACAGTTTGATTTTGGTTTCATCTGACCAGAGCACCTTCTTCCACATGTTTGGTGTGTCTCCCAGGTGCTTGTGGGAAACTTTAAACAACATTTTTTATGGATATCTTTGAGAAATGGCTTTCTTCTTGCCACTCTTCCATAAAGGCCAGATTTGTGCAGTGTACAATGTGCAGTGTAAAAAGATTGTTGTCCTATGGACAGACTCTCCCAGCTCAGCTGTAGATCTCTGCAGTTCATCCAGAGTGATCATGGGCCTCTTGGCTGCATCTCTGATCAGTCTTCTCCTTGTTCCAGATGAAAGTTTAGAGGGACGGCCGGGTCTTGGTATATTTGCAGTGGTCTGATACTCCTTCCATTTCAATATGGTTGCTTGCACAGTGCTCATTGGGATGTTTAAAGCTTGGGAAATCTTTTTGTATCCAAATCCAGATTTAAACTTCTCCACAACAGTATCTCAGACCTGCCTGGTGTGATCCTTGGTCTTCATGATGCTCTCTGCACTCTGAACAGAACCCTGAGACTATCACAGAGCAGGTGCATTTATATGGAGACTTGATTACACACAGGTGGATTCTATTTATCATCATCAGTCATTTGGGACAACATTGGATCATTCATAGATCCTCACTGAACTTCTGGAGTGAGTTTGCTGCACTGAAAGTAAAGGGGCCCAATAATATTGCATGCCTCACTTTTCAGTTTTTTATTTGTTAAAAAAGTTTGACACATCCAATAAATTTCATATATACATATGAAAACATAAATAAATAAATAAGTATGTATGTATATATATATATATATATATATATATATATATATATATATATATATATATATACACACACACACACAGGTTTGTTTTGCTATCTTTGTGGGGCCTTTGCATTGACTTCCATTCATTTTTCATTCATTTCTATAGCCTAACCATGACCTTTATCCATAACCTAACCATTACCAGTACATACCTAACCCTAAACCTAACACATCCTCAATTCACACCTTAGTCCTAAACCTAGCCCATAACCCACCAACGGGACTTCTTCTTATGGGGCCCGGGCTTTGGGCCCCATAAGGAGCAGTTGGTCCTCACAATGTAGTATAAGTTGGAAAAATGGGCCTCACAAAGTAGCATAAACAAGGACACACACACACACACACACACACACACACACACATACTGGTATAAATACTAAAATAAACTACTACTTACTTGTACTACTATCCCTACATTGTGTTTTTTCACTTATCGCGGGGCTTCAGGGTACGGAACCCCCGCGATAAACGAGGGACTACTGCATTTTGAATTTTAAGCTGGAAGACAAAAGTCAATCGGTGCAGCTGGACAGCAAAGGGTTAACCCTTCACTACTGCAGCATGGAGCAGAAATGTGTGGGTGGCAAAGAGCAGAGATCATGACAAGCTGCAGAGGGAGCTTCTCCCTGCACCTGTGGGCTGCACAAAAGTGCAGCAGCTGTTAAATCATTTAAAATAAGTTATTTTAAATAAACAATCCATGCAGCTCATCCATCAATCAGCCAATTGTGTGTCAGGTCTACCCTTACTTGAAAAACCGCGAAAGAGCTAGACCGCGAAAGTCAAACCGCGAAGTAGCGAGGGACTACTGTATTGTTAAGAAACACAAATATTATTTTCTGACGTGCAGTGACTTGATGAATTCACACTGACTAGACTGAATCAGACGTACTGGTCAACATGGTAGCGAACTGTCCACACAAAGTCCAGCAAAGCGCAACCCATCTGTGCAGCAATCTGAAAAACAAGATTCATGTTACATTCGTGCAAGGCTGACATACAGAAAAACTAACCGTGAACGCCTCTTAAAACATTGCTACACAGATACATGAATATTACATTATATTAAAATGAGCACATGGATAAAACAACCGGAGCATTGACAGCCAGGTGCATCAACAGGCCCAGAGTGTGGATCAACCTGCCCAGTACCAGGTGGTCACTGCCCAGCAGGTCAAAGGTCACCTGAGGCCTGGCAGAAAGACGTTACAAGTTGAAAATTTCTTCTAGCAGCACCACATTATTGAAAACCGCAACTCTTGAGCTTTTAAATTTGGTTTCAAAAGTGAGAACACGTACTTGTCGTAATTCCTGAGCAGAGGGAAAAAGAAGTATCCTGCGACGGGAGCGTAACGGTTTGGAGTGGGCGGAGCTGCAGGTAGCGTGGCTCCCTGCAACAACAGTTTATGACATGAGGCAACATGTGAAGGCGGTTGTATTTGAAACAGGACGCGAGTCGTGCATTGAAGCGACATCTTAACAACAAAAGAACATCATTATTTTTAAGTACAGAGAAGGTTGAGGAAAATGTCTTTACAGTTCAGTAAACCAGATTAACTTCTCAAAATAATTTAGTTGTGTGAACGTTTATGAAGCATTCACTCTATCCTGATCCATTTATCTTCCGTATGTTTTTTTGGCACGATGCTTGTCCTGCAGATTTCAAGCTATTTCAACAAATCATATATGAAAACTTTCAGCTCTTTCAGGACAATCCAGTTATGATTTTTTTGGTATTGGTGCACCTTTAGCTTTTTGAGATTTTTTGCCCTTTCTGCCATTTTTTTCTCATAAAATTAATTGAGCTCATTTTACATCCTTCATATCTTTAGATGTGTTTACAACCTTTTACTGCTCCTTTCACATTTTGTTCTGCTTCAGCTTCTTTCAGCTTCCTTGTGCAAATTTAAACATTTTTCAGCTACTTTCAGCCATTTTCTGCTCCTTTCATATTCTTTCGGCTAACTACAGCATTTTTGTGCTTCTAACTTCTTTCTTCTACTTCTTGTTATGCTCCTTTCAGCTTATTTCTGCAAGTTTCATCTTTTTCTGCTATTTCAGCTATTATTTAGCTGCTTTTATGCTAATTTAAGTTTTTTCAGCTAATTCTACATTTTTTGCACGCATTTCAACTTTTTCAGTCTAATTCAGCAAAAATATGTCCTCACCACATCCTTCTTGTAATTTCAGTCTTTTTGTTTTTTAGCTACTTTTTAATGAGATTTATTTGTTGTTGATAATTTCAGCTTTACTCAGATAATTTCCACTTTTTGTGCTCATTTCTGCTTCTTTCAGCCTAATTGGGCAAATATGTATTCTTTCTACTTTTTTCTGATAATTTAAGCTTGTTCTACCTTTTCAGCTACTTTTTTAAAAGCATTTTGAGCTAATTTCAGCTGTTTTCAGATAAATTCAAGATTTTCATGGTAATTTCTGCTACTTTCAGTCTAATTAACTTCTTTATGCCAATTTCAGCTTGTTCTGTTCCTTTCAGCTTTTTTCTGCTAGTTTATGCTTTTTCTGCTATTTCAGCTAAAATTTAGCTGTTTTTTAAACTTTTTCTGTTAATTCCACATTTTTAGCTCATTTCAGCTCCTTCCACTTCCTTCTGATAGTTTAAGCTTCTTTCTGCCATTTCAGCTACTTTCCAGTTATTTTTTAAATATAGATTCAGCTTTTTTTAAGCTAATTTTCTAATCTTTGCTTATCTAAAACTACTTCAGCAAATATGTGTTCTTCCTGCTTTCTTCAATTCAATTCAATTCATTTATATAGCTCCAAGTCACAACAGAAGTCGTCTCAGGGCAATGAACAGAAACATTCAAATATAAAAACAACAATTTAACATTATTTATCTGAGGAGCAGACTGCTTTGAGTTTAACTCCATCACAGAACTCTCATCTCGAACAAGCATGAAGGCGACAGTGGAAAGGAAAAACTCCCTCATGAGGAAGAAACCTTTAGCAGAACCAGGTTCAGGACAAGTGGCCATCTGCTTTGACCGATTGGTAGTAACAGATAAACAATGGCAGGTCAAGAATCACATGTTAAGATAGAAATAATATAAAATGAAAACTATTTAATTTTAACAATTCATTTAAGGAAATGAGGCCAATTTGTCCTCTAGTTGTCTAAGGTTAAGGCAGCATGACAAGCCAACTCTAACTATAGGATTTATCAAAAAGGAAAGTTTTAATCCCAGTCTTAAAACTGGACAGAAACTGGGAGTTGGTTCCACAAGAGAGGAGCCTGATAACTGAGAGATTCTGCTTTTGGAAACTCTAGGAACCACGAGTAAGCCTGCAGTCTGAGAGCAAAGTGCCCTGTTAGGAAAATATGGAACAATAAGTTTTCAAATATAAGATGGAGCTAGGATGTTGAGAGCTTTGTAGGTTAGAAGTAAGATATTGAATTCTATTCTGGACTTGACAGGGAGCCAATGGAGATGAACTAAAACTGCTTGTTCTTCCATTTCAGCTACATTTCAGCATGGATTTAGCTAATTTCAGTTGTTTTCCAGCAAGTTATTCTGCAATAAGCAATCACACTGCATTCAAGCAGGAAGTGCAATTTCTCTAGTTATTATTAATTGTTCAGCTTCTACTTTGTGCAGTAGTTGCCAGTAAAGTTTTAGAAAAGAAGATTTTCAAGGAAAAAATAAGAGGCTTTAAAAAAACAAGTTGTTTGCAGTAACGAATAACTAAAGAGGATATTTTAAACACAAATACTATAATGGAAAATAAAATCTTGTCTTTTTAAAATACCTTTGAGATGCGTTTCGTTTTACTTTGAATCCGCTTCTCTACAACTTGTCTCCAGTGAACTGGATCCTCACTCAGGTACGGAGTTACTGCGGAGGAGGTCGGAGCTCCAGAGGAGGAGACATTCTTGTCGGAGATCGGTGCAGAGAGCTCTTGAGCTGCCAGAGCGAGAACCTGTGAAATTCCAACAAGACTGGGCTCAAGGTGTGTGGCAGCGAGAGAATAAAAACCTTAACACGTGACGAAAATTATTGTTTCCACCTCCAAAATGTCGAGTCGCTGGCGGAGGCTGTAGTTCAAGGAGTAAAACTCTGTAGTCAGATACTGAGTAACCTAACAAAGTACACACAGATGTAGTTTGATTTAAAAAATCAACTGTTTTGGTCAAATAAAATAAAAATAATGAAAAGCAAACACCATTTATAATATAAATCATACCGGAATACAGTCGGTGACGGTGAGAGCCACCATGGTCGCCTGTCTGACACTCAGGAAGCCACGGATGCTGTATTTATCCTCCATGTGAAGAAGCACTTTGGTCATCTGCACACTGATCTGAAAACAGCGAACATCAAGCAGAATGTTCAAACTGAACTGTACAATTTTATAAAAATCGTGAGCTGAACGTCTATTTTACCTCCCTGGCTGCGAAGACGTTCGTCCTCACCAAACTCTCAGCAGCTCTCAAACTGAGCTCCACACGCTCTGCGTCCTCCGAGGATATTAACGCTGAGGAGTTTGTTAATAAAATCAGATAATTAACACAGTGGAGGATGAGTTAAGACAAACAGATTCATCAGCAGAGCCATACTTTCCAGGCAGTCTCGAAGGTACCGAGGCGGTGATGCCCGCCTCATCTCCTGATCCTCAGACATATCATACGGCGTGAGGTCGTCGTCACTGAATCGGTAAGAGACAGTTCCTTATAATTTAAGACGGACTGAAATCTGTAAAACATCTGAGTAAATACCTACCTGTCCAGATCTGAGCCTGGATCTGTTCTTCCTGGTGTACTTTGTGAGGTCACGTTCTGAGTGGATGCAGATGTTTCACTAGTGTTCTCAGCAGAGTCGCCTCTGAAGACGGCAAAAAATTAAATACAGTCGTGCAACGACAATGATAAACTTCTAAAGATAATTTAACGTAAACACAAGGCTGCATCGTTTTCTTTTAAAAACAATTTTAAGTTACAACAAAAATAGTTTTAGGATTATAATGTATGAGATCTTTAGAAACATGAGCATGCTTAAAGGTTACTCAAATGCCTTTATTTGATTGTTTTAAAACTTTGCTGTTGTCTCACTTTTCACTCACGTGCTAAAACAAACAGGTTCAAATGAGCAAAGCTTCTCAACAATTTCAGATACAAACATCTTTCCAGCTTTTACAAGCTCTTGTCACATAACATGTGCAATTCTCATCCCGCAGTTTTCAAGCTATTTCAGCAATTCATACATCAAAATGTTCAGCTCTTTCAGAAGGGTGCTATGACTTTTGGTATTGGTGCAACTTTAGCTTTTTGAAATATTTAGCCTTTTCTGCCATATTTTTCTCAAAGAAAATGAATTGAAAATGAATTTACATCCTGCAAATCTTTAGATCTGTTTACAACCTTTTACTGCTCCTTTCACATTTTGTTCTGGTTCAGCTTCTTTCATCATCCTTGTGCAAACTTAAACTTTTAGCTACTTTCAGCTACTTCCACCTAAATTTTAGCTGTTTTCTGCTCCTTCCAGATTCTTTCTGCTAACTACAACATGTCTGTGCTTCTTCTAACTTATTTTTTCTAATTTCAGCTTGTTATTTTCCTTTCAGATTATTTCTGCAAGTTTCAGCATTTTCTGCTATTTCAGCTACTATTTAGCCGTTTTTATGTTAATTTAAGCTTTTTTTTTTTTTTTTTTTGCCAATTCCACATTTTTTGCGCTCATTTAAACATTTTCTGTCTAATTCAGCAAAAATGTACTCTACTTTATGGAAATTTGAGCTTCTGCTTTTTAGTTACTTTTTAGCTGTTTTTTTTGTTGTTGTTGCTAATTTCAGCTTTTTTAAAAGATAATTTCCACTTTTTATGCTCATTTCTGTTTCTTTCAGCAAACACAAGTGTTCTTTTTGCTTCCTTTTGCTAATTTAAGCTTGTTTTACCTTTTCAGCTACTTCTTTTTTAGTATTTTTAGCTAATTTAATCAGTTTTCAGATAAATTTCAAGTTTTTGTGGTAATTTTTACTACTTTCAGCCTAATTAATTTCTTTCAGCTAATTTCAGCTTGTTATGCTCCTTTCATCTTAATTATGCTAGTTTCAGCTTTTTCTGCAATTTCAGCCACTTTTTTTAGCAGTTTTTTGTGCTAAATTTAAGTTTTTGAGCTAATTCCACGCTCATTTCAGCTCCTTCCACTTCCTTTTGGTAGTTTAAGCTTCTTACTGATTTTTCAGCTAATTTTCAGCTATTTTTAATCTAATTTCTGCCTTTTTCAAATAAATTTCCTAAGTTTTGTGCTTATTTCTGCGTATTTAAACCTAATTCAGCAAATATGTGTTCTTTCTGCTTTCTTCTGTTAACTTAGGCTTGTTCTTCCATTTCAGCTACATTCCAGCATGTTTTTAGCTAATTTCAGCTGTTTTTCAGCAAGTTCTTCAGCAATAGGCGTTCACACTGCATTCTCACAGGAAATGCAGTTTTTCTAAAGTTGTACTCGCATCTAAAAACTAAACTAATGCAGCAGTTTCTAATGTTAAGACACAAATCACAACTTCTTTCATTCAGAATTCTAATTTAATTATAATTACATAGATCTAAATAATTTGTAAATAGTCATACAGTAGTTCAAACTTTGTGCTGATGTTTCAAGATTCACGAATGCAAGTGCACATTAGAGTTCATGAAAACAAACTTTCACAAATACCTGTTTACAAGCTCTGGCTCTGGCTCATCACACGTGTCAGGAGTTATGAGAGAAAGCAGCTCTCGAGTTTCTTCATCCTGCTCATACTAGAGCACAAGATAAATCATCTTATGTTTTAATCAAATGTTCTAAAAGCCGATGCTGAATCACCAGCTACTTTATCAGAATCAGTTCTGCAGCAGCTCTAACCTCAAATTTCAGCTCGGCTCCACTGAAATCCATCCGGGCGCTCAGACACTCCCCAACCACCATGCCCATGTTCCTGACCCGCAGCACACAGCTGTCCAGGTGGCTCTGCATGCCACCCAGCATGCACTGAAGGAGCTCTGAAAAACACAACACAAACATTCTGCACATACGAAACACGAAGGGTGTGAATGTCAATTTACATAACTGTTGTCCTGGTTTTTTATGTTTTTTCATTCAGAAGATGGTGTTATGACTTTTTGTTTTGCTTTTACACTTTTAAAAATATTTCACTTTATTTATCACATTTAATATTGCCCTTAAGAAAAATATTGTGAAGACTTTAAATCCTTTAAACACATTGTTTTCCTAAAAACCTCCTTCAGCATTCTTTGTCTTTATAAGCTAATTTTAGCTTTTAGCTAGCCTTTTGCACATTTTGATTTTAGCTACGCCTTTGTTCACATGTATGCTACATTTAGCTTTTAGCTCCCAATTTACTACTTTTAACTTTTAGCTACCAGTTTGCTACTTTTTAGTTTTTTTTCCTCCAATTTCAGTTTTTAGTTAGTTTTGATCATTTTAGCTTCAATTTAGCTTTATGGTACTTCTGCTAATCTTTTGCAACTTTAAGTGTTTAGCTACCAGTATGCTACTTCTAGCTTTTAGCTACAAATTTGCTACTTTGGACTTTAGCTAACCATATGCTGTTTTATGTTATAACTAGCTTTTTGCTACTCTAGCCTTTTGCTACTTTAGCTTTTAGCTAGACTTTTATTTGATACTTTTAAATTTTAGCTAGCCCTTTAATACTTTTACCTTTTAGCTAGCCTTTTGCTACTTTTAGCTTTTATCTTCCAATTTGCAACTTTAAACTATTAGGAAGTCCTTTGCTATTTTAACTTTTAGCTAGCCTTTTACTACTTTAGCTTTTAGCTAGCCTTTTTATATAGCTACTGTATAATATAAATTCCTCAAAAGACTAAGAATACAAGACAGATTGACAGTAAGAGTATCCTTCTTTTAGGCATGAAACTTTTGGAAAAAAAAAAGATTAAAAGCCGTTATATTTGCACTGTGTTTGGTTTTATTGTACCTGAACGCAGCTCTTGCAGCTCCGAGTCCTTCAGCAGACTCACACTCAGCAGTAAGGCTTTACTCACATAAAGCTGCTGCTCTAGAGGAGTGTGTTTTACTGCACTGGGGTTCGCCCAGGCCTGTGACACGGACCGTATAACCTGAAAACACACACAGATATGTTAAAAATAACCGTGAATGTTTTATTTATGCATCTTGGACCGGTGCACAAACCTGAATGAGAAGTGGTCTTCGATCCTCGTCTGCAGCGAGGTAACCCAATACAGTTCTCAAGACCCGAGTCTGAACATAATAACATAACAGAAAACACATGCTTTATATTTCTGGCACACATGATGCACTGCAAAACAATAACTTACTGTATTACCTCGTATTTATACTGTAGTAACAGCAGTTTATGAGTTATGACAAACTGAGCTTTTTTATTTGTTAGCACTAGATTTCCAATGATTCGGCCCAAAGCATCAGGTCTGAAACAAAACAACAAGAAATAAATAACAACACACACAATAACAAAAACAGTTTTATATAAATGAGTGGAATTGATGTTTATTTTTTGAATCCATGTGGTTAACCTCGCTTGACCAACTAACCCGCTCACAGCCTGCACCAGCCCTACGAGAACGCTCTCCATCCACCGCTGAGGAATGTTCTCCAGCAGCTTCCAGCACACCCTCCGCCACAACATGTCTGAGCGCGTGCACGCGCACAGTCGAGGAGCCATCACTGCCAGAACCAAACCTGGAGGAAAACAAGAGGACACGAACGGTTCTATGTCAGAATGTACACAGCAAATAACGACAGCATTCATCACCTCGGGTACAAAACACAACTTCTAAAAAAAACAAAATAAAACTCTAAAAAGAAGAAAAGAGCAAAGTTTCAGATTTTTTCTTTTTTTTTGTCGCTGTAATCCCTTAAATGTTTGTTTTTAAAGTATTATGACCCACCATCGAAAAGCAAAGGCACACAATAATGTTTGTGTTTATGTGTCAGCATGTCTCTGTCTGTTAGTAAAATATCTTAAAACCACTTGACAGACTTTATTGAAACTTTCAGAAAAAAAAAGAAAAAAATTGGATCTACAACTGATTAACTTTTGAAACCAACTCATTTCGTGTCGGCTGCCACGGCCAGCTAAGCTTAGAAAACACAAAAATGGTAATAACTCTGCCAGTTCTACAGATTTTAGCTAAATATCTGTAGAATTGGCAGTTATTGCCATTGTTGTGTTTTCTTGTTGTGTTTTCTTGCAACCTGTCCAGGCTGTTCCCCCGCCTCTCCCATAGTGACTGCTGGATTGGGCACCAGTGACCCCCATGACCCAAAAACGAAGAAGCAGGTAAAAGATAATGGATGGATGGCATGAAAGGCAGTGGTGGGCACAGTTCTGCTTATACGCCAACAGCTAATAGCGGAACAAATGTTTCATTTAGCTGATGAGTGTTTTTGCTAACTTTGGAAACCGTTAGCAGAATTATCCAAAGAAGTTCAATCTGGTCCTCTGGATATTCAAAAAAACTTCTTGTTTTTTTGAATGTCCAGAGGACCAGATTGAACTTCTTTCGATTTTTCTACCTGGATTATTTAGCATGCATCAGGTTAGCAGAATTAGCTTCCACTAAATTAGGTTTTGCCAACTTTAAGTCTTAATAAATTTGACAGGCTAGTTTCTGTCTGTTGTGGGTGTGTCTCAAAGAGTCCGTTAGGCACGTTATTGGCGTACTACACGTTACAAGGTGTGATTGATCAACACAGCTTCAACTGGAAGGAGATGAAGACATGTGACAAAGAATGAGTGACAGTCGTCTTAAAGGTTAGTGGTTTAGCATTAGCAAAGCTATTTTTTTGCTAGCGTAATATGGGTTAGCAAAGCTAACTTTTTGGTTAGCTGTGCCCACCACTGGCAGTGGACAATGTGTCATTCTTTAATGCAATTTTATTTTATTTTTTTAATTTAGGGAGCACGATGGCTTGTTGGTTAGGGCTATTGCCTCAAGAAGGTCCTGGGTTCAATCCCTGGTTTAGACCTTGGGTCTTTCTGTGTGGAGTTTGAATGTTCTCCCTGTTTGTGTAGGTTTTCTCAGAGTACAGTACTCCGGTTTCCTTCCACTGTCCAAAAACATGATGTTAGGTTGCCTGCAGGCCCAGGCCTCCCTTGCAAAAAAGATCTGTGATATCAGTGGCATTTGCCTGGTTTAATAAAGGTTAACTCAAGGATTTTAATATCTGTCTGTTTTTTCATTGTAATTTTGAGTTTTTTTTTCTTTTTATGTTTTTGTTATAGATCTTTAGATGACACCTCATGATAATTATTTTAATTATAGTTTTTTTTTTTGTTGTTTTTTTTACAAAAAACAGCAATGTAGATATGTGACAAAGTAAAGAGACATGTTGCTAAACTGCTCTTATTGCTTCCTTATTGTCTATAATGACAAAAGAAAAAGGAAATGTTGGACAAAATTTTGAGTCACCAATTTAAAATCAGGTAATTAATATTGATTATTTAATATGTTAACCAGTTACAACGGAACATGCATGCGATGATATAAAAAAACTACAATGTTTAAAACTCGGCTGTGAATTAATGGAAATAGACTCACCACTGTGTCCTTGGATGCACACTTTTCCAAGTGTTTGAGCTACAAAACCTAAAGAACAGTCTGTTCCACCTAAAAAATTAAAAATAAAAGTGACACAAAAGGTGACTAAATATGAAATGGCCTATACAAAAAAAACACTTAAACACAATGTAACCTTTGAGAGCCTGGCAGGTTCTCTGCAGTGCATTCAGCATCTCAGTGGCCAGCAGTGAGTAGTACTGCTGAGGAAGAAAAGGTGGTCTGATGTTGGGATGTAACTTGTTAGCGGTGATATCTGGCAGCGCACTTATCCGACTCAGGAGAGTCTCTCTAAACTGGGGGGAGTCTGAGGGAACCGACTGCAGACAGTAGGACCACAGCAGGTCAGCAAGACGGCCACTCTGAAGGAACTTCTCTGCGATGCTGACCAGGTGGTCCAGACATGTCGAAGGTCTGTGTGGAGACAATATATCAGCATCAGATGATGACAAAAAACAATCAAAAACACTTCTCGGTCAGGTATCTCTCACCTCAGCTCTGTAATTGCATCCATCAGCACCAACAGCGCCTGATCTGGAGGACCTTTAAGAAACAACTGATCCCACAGCTCTGCGCGGTGTGTGGCTGAGAGGCTCCACAGCCAGTCTGCCTGGATGTTGCTCACCAAAAACTGAAGAGTCCGGCTGTAGTGAGCTCTGCTGAACTCTTCCCGCTGAGCTGCTGAGGTTTTACTCTCTGCTCCGTCATCCAAATAGGAGATGAGGGTCTGAAGAGCAGCAGTAATGTCTTTACAGTCCGTGGATGAAGTGAGAGTCCGGAATGATTGGGCCACTGCTAGTCGAACCTCTGCATTAGTCGAAACTGACTCCATGATTGTGAAAGATAGACAGCAGCTAGCATATCTAGGACAAAAACACAAAAGTTATACATACAAATTAGTACAAAAATAAATATGTCAATATTGGCGCATTGTGTCGTCTGTCAAGTGGAAGAAAACACCGCCCTAACAATTTTATTCAACACTGGTTTAGCTAACTGAAGGTGTTCAATGAAAATTAGGCTATTCTGTTAGCTTGGTATACTCGGTAAAGTTTTTAAATATATATATATATAAATAACAGAAGACAATATTGCTGTTATAAATATACTGCGCTATCACAGTTATAGTAAAAAACAAAAAAAACAAGTCTTTACCAGTTTATTTTTGCGGTTCAACTCACTGGATTAACGGGATGCTACGGTTATCTCATGTGCTTCATCAAAATAAGACCGTAAGGTGCGAGAGGCGGAGCATTTAGTTCCGCGTATGTCTGTGAGCCTTTTGTTCAGCTTCCTGTCCAGCTATTTATTTATTTACACTTCAATGAACTCGTTCAGTATAAATAAACTGATTTTTTTAACGCTTAAAATTTTAAACTAAATACACAAAGAACTAATATACCCATACCATACCATACCAATTTATTTATAGAGCACTTAAAACAGCAACAAGGCCAACCAAAGTGCTGTACAAAAGAAAACAAACATGCACAGCGGACAGGAAAACATAAAATAAAAATACAGATACAAATAGCAGCAGAAGCTAACTAAAATGGCCAACAGTGTAGAGTACAGACAGGACCAAACAAATCACACCGTATTAAAGGCAAGAGAATAGAATTGGGTTTTCAAGCGAGACTTAAAGACAGAGTGTGGGAGCCTGCCGGACACTCAGTGGCAACTCATTCCACAGTCGTGGACCTGCAACAGAGAAAGCCCTGTCACCTCTGAGCTTACGACGGGTTTCTGGGACTGAGAGAAGCATCTGGTCTGCTGACCTCAGAGAGTGCGGTGGGACATATGGCTGCAGAAGATCAGTGAGATAGGATGGGGCGGAACTGTTCAGTGATTTAAAAACATACATGAGCCACTGGGATGGAACAGCATGACTTCAGACTTCTCATTGAAGCTTAAGAAGTTTAAAGCCATCCAGTCCCGGATGTCAGCCAGGGAGTCAAGAAGAGGCTGAATAGAGCGTGTGCCTCTGTGCCTCAGGGGGAAGTAAATTTGACAATCATCGGCGTAGAAATGAAAGGGTATGTTGTATTTGCGGAAGATAGCACCTAGTGGCAGTAGGTATAAAGAAAAGAGAAGGGGACCGAGGATGGACCCCTGCTGTACCCCCCACTGGAGCGCTGTCGATGCCAAACTAAAATCTTTGATATTGACACAGAAGGTTCTGTCAGAGAGGTAGGACCCAAACCATTTAAGGGCTGACCCTGTGATGCCCACCCACTGCTCCAGTCTAGAAATGAGGATCTTGTGGTCGATGGTGTCAAAAGCAGATGCAAGGTCCAATAGGACAAGCAGCACAGAATCACCTGCGTCTGTGGATATGAAAATGTCATTAAAAACCTTCAGTAGAGCAGTTTCAGTGCTATGGAGAGATTTGAAGCCAGATTGGAATAACTCTAGGATAGCGTGATCCCCCAAAAACTGTTTCAACTGAGACTCCACCATTTTTTCCAGTAGTTTAGAGGTGAATGGGAGTCTGGAGACAGGAGACAGGAGTCGCACCACTTGAATAAAAACGTAAATGAGTTCTGAAAACGAGTTCTCGTGGCTCAGTGAGACTACCTGTATAAATAAAGGGTAAATGGAAAAAAAGAAAGAAAAGCATTTAAGGGTTTTTGACATTTTGTTCAACTGAGCATAACTTTTACCATGCGTCTTTGTGTAAATACGATGAAACTAAATACATTATTCATAAATTAATTGACGTTCATAAATAATTGATGTGAATAAATATTAGGCATTACATCATTGGTTATCGTTATTTCGACACAAAAACTGAAAATGTCACAACTTTATTACAGATGAAACTAGAAATTTAACATCCAATTGAAAATCTAATTTATCTGCAGTGTCTTCTAAAAGCAGATTTATAAAAAAAAGTGACTTTACGTTTATTTTTTTTAATGGGTTTTAGGTGACATGTCTTAAAACTTCATTTTTATATATTTAATCGTTGCATTTAAAATCAGGGTCCATCAGTCATTACTATTATTAACAGTTAAATGTGGTGCACACTTACCTAAACCAAAATGATTTGGATTTTTTTTTTTTTAATACTTCAGTCGTATCTTATATATTTGGAGAAAGTTTCTCAACTCGTATAGGAAAAATAAATCTTGATCATATTTATGACTAAGCCAGATGTTGGGGGATGTTGGCTTTGTAGGTGTAGTTCTCATGTTCATCCAACAGAGGGAGCTCAGCGACTTTTTGCTCCCTCAGTGCTGCAGTTCAAGTCTCAACCGGCAGGTGGCGCAAACACCAAAACAGAGGAAGTTTTAGGGTCAGCGTCAAAATTTAACAAGTTTTCCTGTATGCTACCTCAAAGTGAGAAAAATCACAATTTACCCTTTGGATGCCAGTTATTAGGACGGTTTATATCCAAATATGAAACGTGCACACTCATTCTTTCTTTCATGAACAATAAAATAAAAAAATAAAAAATAGGCAACCACATACTGGTATTTTTATTCCATTTATTTATTCTATTCTTATTTCCACTTCTTACCTTTAAATTCTCTTTTTGCAATTGACATTTCTTTTGTATTAATATTCAATCACTTTAGGGGCGCTTCAAAAATAATATACAGCTGTACCCAGTACTGTAATAATTTATACATTTATATGTGAAAATAGGAATAAATTTAAGTTGTACAGATTCTCTTTTCTACAATATTCTCTTTTTACATCTTCCCGTGTCACATAATGGCAAGCCATGCACTACAACAGTAGTGCCGTTTGTGCCTTAAAGCAAACTTTCTTTGGACACCGGAAGTGAAAGAAGAAAAAAGTTCACCCAAAAAAAAAAAAAAAAAAAAAAATTCATATTTACAGTTCAGGTGTGAATGTATAATTTAAACGAACAGACAGCCACAGCCAGTGCTTTTTCCTCGGGGCTCATCATCAGGTTAGTTCAAAAGGCAAAGTTTGACACAGAGGCACAGTGTTCAGACTAAGTGACCAGTTTCTGACTCCCTCTCAGGGCGAGAGCAGTTAAAAGTGTTATCCAAAAGCGTGACAGATACAGTGATCCAAATTCAAACATGCATCTTTGGTCGTTTTTTTAAAACTGGAATTCAAACGCTGAAATTAGATAAGGGTAAAGTGCAAACAGCTGTGATTCGACTAATCATTCTGTAGCCATGTTCGGTCAAACTATCTGTCAGCGAATCAGGGAGAGAGTTCAAACAATAGTCTGCTTTGCCTTCGTGTCATTATGTAAAGAAATAAATATGACCGGGGAGAAAAAGCTTTTTTTAGGCTGGGTATGAATTTGCTGTCATATTGAGAATGACTTGCATCCGACAACTCCACCGTGGATGTTGCGAGTGTACGATCTGTCAAACAAGTAATGCAAGAAAACAAACGTGCATCCACGCAGCACCTGACTCCATCTGGGAAGACGACGGTACAAACTGAACCACTCTGGTCAAAGCAACACGAGCGTTATGGAAGAGAGCAAAACCTCCACTCTGAGCAGGTCACAAGCCGTTTTTAAAAAGTACCACCTGTCCGTGAATTCTCCCACACATTAAACTCTTTGTGACTTCGTTCATCTATTTTCAGCAGATCAACGAGTTGGTGCTGAATAAATATCTGAACGCGTGTTCAAATAAAAAGAACCCTGACAGATACTGTACACGCTACATGCTAAAGAGTACAGTTCCTGTGTTAAGACACACACAAAAAATCATCTTGTGACTATAAAAATACCTAGAATCTAGAATGTGTACAAAAAAATCTTTACATCATTTACATCCAAGGCCATTTCCCCATGGAGCGGCAGGTGAGTAAGAGCATCGAGACAGAAGTGAAGAGTGGAAAGACGGGAATTCATAGGACAGTGATGTCGCTGTGGTTCGGAAAGAACGTCCACCTTGGTCTGCGTTAATGTTCAGAATTAGTCGCACAGCACTGATTAGTCCAAAATTCCTCCATACATCCATAAGAAGAAACAAGGTTTGTTCAGTTTCCTCTCCACCACTTCCTTTTCCAGCATTATTGCTACAAAGGTCTGCCATGTCTTCCCAAAATGGCAAAAAAAACAAGACAATAAAATGAAGCATAGCTGCTTGTCACGTTGAAATGTGTCAGAATAAATATGGCCTTCTTAGTAGCACGATTCACAAGTGGGCCTCCTCTTCAAAATATTCACACAGGCTCGTTCACGACTCCATCCCTTCACAATAAACTAACAGAAACAATAATAAAGTCAAAACAAAGTGCAACGCGTGTTCCTCACATACAACTCATCAAATGCCAGCATTTCAGTTGCAATGACAGTTTTACAGACAATAAATTATGAGCTGGGCCAGATCTGCTTCCCTCTTTCACTCAGCAAGAGAATACTGGAGTCAGGTGGGCTGTACTTTTCATTTCCTGGAGAATTCCCCAAAGCCAGAACGAACACGGTCATTTTGTGCCCGTCGAACGACACATGTAGGAAGCGTAGTGCTCTTCTAGCCCACCTCAAATCCAGGACCCTGCATCATCGTAAAAAAAAAATTAACCGTGAAGCAAATAACCCCAGAAAACGTAAGTGTTGCTTTAAGGCTGCTCAAAACCAAAACAGAAAGGGAATGTCAAACACACACACACAAAACCCTCCAGACGTTCCTCGTGTGTAAGCCAGCAGGAACGTCCCTCACCTGGGTTCACTGGAATGACAGCGGATTGAAGAGCAGCTTTAAAAAAAAAAAAAAAAAAACGTTCGCAGCACGCCTGCTTCGTGCCACCGAGCAGCTCTTCATACGGTTTGTGATTAAAACACAAGTCAGCGCTGCTCGAGCGGCATCAGCCCACGTCTCCACCCTCCTAACGCAGACTGAACCAAGGCAAGTGGATCATCGGACAACCTTCTTTTAAGGCCTTCACATGCAACTAAGCTCAGCGCAAGGCCCACGTCGTTTCTGGAACAAGATGGGAGAACCGTTTCCTACTTTACATCAACGCAGCGTAAACTCCTGCGTTCACTCACTGATGGGGGAGACTTGGGTCCCTCGAACCAAAAACATGGACGTCACCAGAACCCGAGTGCGTTCAGGAGGACGAACAGAAATTCACACCAACTCAAAAGAGAAAAAAGCTCATGTTTCCACGGACAGCCATGGACTCCTTACAAATCTATAATTAATCTTTTCGCAGAGAATATTGTGAAAGTTGTTTGGGTGTTTTGATTTTTACATCCTTCGTTGTTGTTTTCCTCTTGCCAGGTCTTCAGTGTGTGTGTATTTATATTCATAGTACAGCCTGCGGCGTCGGAGCAGGTGGCCCCTCTGGTTGCATGATGTCTATTTGACCTCCAGGATTGAAGGGTTGGACTCCATGATGGCCACAATGATTTTGTCAATGTAGTCCTGGAGTCTGTAGTTGATTTCCTCTTGTTTGTGAACAGCCTCCATCAACTGGAAGAAGAGGGAGAAGCAAAAGTCAGAGGAAATGCAACAGAACAGAGCACGAGTGTGACTTAATCTGAATAGAAGAGTGAAATGAGATTCTTCAGAAGTTCTTCCTAGTTTGTTTTTTAAACCCACCTCAACACGAGACACGGAGCTGATCTCAGCAGCCAGGGAGTCGGAGAAAGAGGCCGACATCAAATTCTTGGCTCCCTGGATGCTCAGGTTGATTATCTGTCCGTTTAACTCGTCATTCTGCTCCTTCAGCGAACGGTTGTCCTAAAACAGCCAATCGGATTGTAATGTTTTACAAAACAACGCAGCCCAGGGGGAAAAATAAATAAATAAAGTCCAACCCAAAAATTTTTAAAACTATATTTAAACAAGAAGGGTGGAGAACTGGAAATGTGACTCCTGCCTGTTTGAGTCTTTTGATCTCCTGCTCCAGCTCCGCTTCACGGGTTCGGGTCTGGTACTCCTGCAGACCCGCTCCGGGAGTACGGCCTCTCTTCGCCTCCGCCTCCAGCTTGTACAGCTGGAGGTGCTCGAGCTGTTTACGCAGGTCTTCAATAACCTGATGTGCAAACGCATCAAAGGACACGAGGAAAAGAAGAGTCAGGAAAGAGATAAAGCACAAAACGGTTGTACAGAGATACCGTATGTTCCGGCGTATAAGTCGCATTTATTTAATGGTCACAACAGCTTCATTTCGCCTGGGCGGCGCGGCACCATCTATCCATCCATCCATCGAGGCCGGAGCTGCTAGCTCTCCAGCGTTCCTCCGCCTGCACCAGCTGAGTGAAGCGAGTGCGCACGGGAGAACTCGCCGTTGGAGTTCTTAGAAATTTAAAGCATCGATCAAATATACAAGTCGCTTCGTCATACAAGTCGCAGGACTGACACATCTATGCAAAAACTGTGACTTATACGCTGGAAAATACAGTACATGATGAGAATAACATCAAAGTCTTTGCTCCGGTGTTATATTTTACAAACCGAACCCGTTGTGCTTTTGCTGCAAGACAAATCAACCCCACCTCCTGAGTGTTCTCCTTCTCCTTCTGGTTTTGGTGACGCTCATGACTCAGCTTGTCGGCCATCTTCCTGCGTGATTCCGTCTCCTCCTGCAGCCTATCTGAAACACTTTCCACCTCGTCCTGAAGCTTTCTTTTCTCCTACAAATGAAAACAAGACGACAGGTGGAAAAGGTCAGGATAGAAACATCTTAAGATAAACTAACGAGAGCAGGAGGGCAGATGGAAACTGCACGAGGAGCACCGAGTAAAGCAGGTTCACCTCTTCTAGTCTTTCTATGTTTGCTCGAAGGCAGGGGACGCAGGATCTTAGCTCACTGTTCTCATCATCCAGCTGTTGCAACCTGAGACACAAAATAAATCTCTCAACACACGCACAGAATTAAAAACCCAGAGCACACTACGCATATTTATCCTATTTACTGACTAAAAGGTTTTTTTAAGCCAGATGGTGGCAGTAAAGAGCCATGCACTGTCAAGTACAGCTTATAAACCAGGTTTGATTTTGCTCTGAAAACCACGTGCTGCCTCCTGGTCTGGTCACCTGGCCTGCAAGTTCTCCAGCTCCAGCTCCTTGTCTCGCTCCAGCTTGCTCAGAGCCTCTTTGTGACGCCGTGTCGCTTGTTGGAGCTCCTCGTCAGTTTGGAGCTCCTGCTCCTTCAGCTGCTCTTCGAGGGCGTTGGCCCGGTGCACCAGCTGAAGGTTCTCCTGGCGCAGCCGTGCGTGCTGCTCTCCCGACGCCTCAGATTCCTTCTCCAGTTCCGCCACTCGACGCTCGAGGAGGAGCACCTGGGGAAAGAGAAGGCGACGCGTCACGGCCGACCTTTTCAAACATTCCTCATCAGAACAACCAGCAGGTACTGAAGGTCCACTCCGCCACCTTGTCTGTGATGTCGTTGTCAGCGAGCTCCAGGATGTCCCGCGTCAAGTCGCTCATCGTGTCCAAAGTCATCGAATTATTTTGGAGGAGGTGTCTGAGTGAAAAGACGAGGAAGAAGCAAATATAACTCACAGGTACGAGTTAAAATCTGATTTTAAACGTACATTTATATTAAAGTTTTAAGTCCTTTCCAACAAGAAATCTTTTTTTTTTAACGTACCTTGCCACCTTTTTGCTGGACAGCCTTTTGCCAGCACTGGATGAGGAGAAACAGAACAGGAGAAATGTCAGGATGAGCAAAAGGACAGAAAATAAAAGCATGCTGATGTCGTTTTTTTGACCAATAAAATACTAGATTCTGTTGAAACTACAAATAATTTACACACACAGCAGTTAAACACACATACCGGCATGTTTTATGCGTCTCTACAGAGAACTGACGTTGGATCAGTTTGACTCAACAGTATCACATAAACGTGCAAGATTTTCAATTTAGTGTTAAAAACGATGACGTGCAAAATTGTGCCCTGGCCTTTTCTTTCTTCTTTTTTTTTGTTGTTATAAATAACATGATCGGAAATCTTATTAAGGTGATTAGTTACTAAGTTTGTGTAATACTGCTAATGGTCTTTAATCCCAGATCAGCAACTCCAATACAGGCCAGTCTATTGAAATTTTACTCAACTATTAGAAGGCAGTTTGCAATAACTTACCACAAAGCAGCAAGAAAACACACTACAAGCAACGCGTAAAAGTTCAACTCAATTCAATTTCAATCCAACATGTACAGTGAAAAACTAACAGCACGTCGTTTCCTAAAGATTTAGCTCATCTGACTAAGACTGCATCTAAAAATACAAACAGAATGCAGAAGAGAAAACCAGGAACTCAAAAACAAAACGAGCGTAAGACTTACGCACGATGCGTGTGCAAAAACACGCCGACGAAATGAACCACGTTTGCAAACCAACACAGCATGCACACAGTGAGAGAACACGTGCAACACTGGATCTAATCAGCACTGCACACACGTTCATGAAGCTTAAATCACAGCAGGGTTGTGGACAACGTGTTACCTAGTCATCTCTAGGAAATTGAGGCGAGCAGAGAGGTCTTCAAGACGACTTATTTGTTTGTGACACTGGCTACAGAAAAAGTCCAGCGCCTCCTCCCTGAGGAAGCTCTGAAAGCGGTCAGGGAGAGAAGCAGGAGTGCTGGAAAGAGGAAAAAACAGGGAGGAACAGAGGTGGAGGTTGTGGTGAGTGACAGACAACAAGGAAGGGGGTGCATTAAAAGGGGACAGGAGGTATGTCCTGATGCATGCTCAGTCATCCAGGTAAATAAATCCCCAAAAGTTAAGTCAGAAATCCACAGGAGAGTTTGAAACAGTCACAGGAGACGACTGTGGTGAGAGAGAGACATGAGACAGGCTGCAGTGTGGCTGCAAGTGCTACTCTAATTACAGGACCGGTAGTCCCTCGCTGCTTCGTGGTTTGACTTTTGCGGACTTTCTCTTTTGTGGTTTGTCAACAAACAAAAAAAAAAAAAATTGTACAGTGCAGTACACGGAACATGACTGTCAACTTTACGGTATTATTGTACTCATGTTGTTGGGAAAAAGTAAAATAAAGAAAATAAATTTGGACAGGCGCCGCCATTTTGTAGTTTTCTTTCAATCAGCCTACACTATAATCACCACTCAACAGGACTTCGTTTCCCAGAAGCCACTACTGTACTGAAGTGCGTCCGGCCGCTGCTTTCTGCCTAACAGTACTTTTGCAAAGCAAAGTCATGACTGCCGAACCAGCTTTTCAAACGTAAGGTTTTAATCGCGTCACTTGGACAAGCTTCTTTGACAAAATTAAACTTTACAAACGTCCGATTCACAAGAAATAAATAATGTCAGGACATGTCTCTTTAAGAAACGGAGCATTGTGCTGTGTAACCCGGGTGATGATTGGCTGCACAGAACCACACTCAGTGGTGAACCAGAGAGATCCTAGCCGGCCCACGAGGACTTCCAAGCGGGGACGTGCCACCGTAGGCTGTATCCAGAGCCCACGCCACTACTGTACCCCGAGCCAGAGAGCCGACCAGAACCGGCCGGGTAGGTCCGCTGCCAAAACAGAACCAACTAAGTCATAGCGGAACTGAGCCTCTGCTGTTCTGCCGAACTGGTAAGCAAAATTTAGTAGCTACATATACACAGTACAGTACATATTTTTAAGAGCTTAGAGCATTGCAAGAGTGTGGAAA